AATGGGAAGCGCTAAAACTCCATTTCGACCCAGCAGCAAGCAAGGAAAAATAATAAAAGCGGAACTCTGCCATAAAGCGGAACTCTTACATCAAATGTTCAATGACAAGAACTACGCATATTTACTTTTTTTAAGCCCAATATGGTCGGAGTTGCAAAGAGAAATAAGTGCTTTCAGAGCAGCAACACGAATGGCACGGAATTATTAAATGATTTGATGTTGACCATTCAATCATTGAAAAAGGGCATAGTTCTACCGGAAATAGTTGTGGATTTGTTGCAAACAGTGGATATCAAAAGATATGTCCACGATGATCTTGCGCAAGCATATGAGTTTGAGAAACACCCCTGCAGTTCTGAGCACTAGTTCGTTGCTGGTGAAATAAGCACTTACCAGCAGACCACCACTACTCACAAAGTGGCGTCTAGCCATTTTTATACCCTTGCAGAGGGTATTATAATTTTGGTCAAAAGTGTGCAACGCAGTGAAGGAGACATCTCCGACCCTATAAAGTATATATATTCTTGATCAGGATCACCTCCTGAGTTGATATGAGCATGTCCGTCTGTCCGTCTGTCCGTCTGTCCGTCTGTCTGTCTGTTTCTACGCAAACTAGTCTCTCAGTTTTAAAGCTTTCGACTTGAAACTTTGCACACACCCTTCTTTCCTTTGCACGCAGTATAAAAGTCGGAACGACCGGAATCGGCCGACTATATCCTATAGCTGCCATATAACTGATTGATCGGAAATGGTATAACTTTGGTGTTTTTAGAGTTAGAGAGTTCAAATTTGAAGCTACTTTTGGCAACAAATTACGACATTCCAAATTTCATAAGGATCGGCCGACTATATCCTATAGCTGCCATATAACTGAACGAACGGAAATGGTATTTGGTAGAAATATCAACTTTCGTGTTTTTGAAGATAGAAGCTTGGGACTTTTTTTCTTAGATTTTTATGGTTATAAATTGGTTTTATTATGATGTAATCATAAGGATCATGCAACTATATCCGAAGATTGCGATATATATCCGGTTTTAACTGCAAGGGTATATTAACTTCGGCTCCTCCCGAAGTTAGCTTTGCTTTCTTGTTTTTACACTAAGGTCATCCTTCGTCATTTCGACTACGATCTATTTTAATACCCTTTAACAAATTTTGCTTTAACTTTAGAAAATTATACATTCCTTTCAATTAAGTCTTTTTTTTTTAATAGATGATTAATGAATAGATGCAACTTGTAAATGAGAAAATGTTTTGAAGTACCAAATTGGGTTAAATGCATGAGGCACAAAGTTCAACTTTGTGCTCGCCACACACACTTTTCTGGCATTTCGCACAGACTACCTAAGTCATTCTACGCTTTGAGGAAGGACAAACTAGGCAAATCTTTCTTTTCCCTGCTTCTTTTGTGGGAATAACATTTTCAGCTTCTGGGGAGTTCAATATTGAAAGCGCATTACAAAGCTCATTTCGCTTGCTGTAGTGCTACGTCTTTGTGTCTTATCCGTATTTAGAAGCAGGATGGATTGACGTTGAGCTATCTCGATATTGGTCCACTGTACTATTTCATTAACGATTTTGTCTGTTATAAATAGTTTGAAGCATTCGAGTGGGTCAACAATATTTTTACACTGTCGTGTTGGTCCACGAGCATTATGCACGACATTAAGCCACTATTTTAAGAAAAAATAGTTCCGAAATCTGAAAGTAACATAAAGTTCATCCTTCGTCATATTGACTACGGCAAAAAATTCAATGCACTATGGTCCCAGTGCGGCATAAAATCGAAAAAATGATGAAACTATTTTTTGAATATGAACAAAATTTTAATTAATAGACATCCCAAATAAATATAAATATATAATTTTTTGAACTTTATTGCAACCCTGTTAATTTAGCGCGGTCATTTAACCAGCTGATTTATTGCAACCCTGAAACTTGCAAATTGGCGGCAACTTTAAGGCAACTTTTAATTTCAATTGGCTTAAATTGAGTAAAAATACTAGATTAAATATGGAAAACAAAGATCAAGGTATGAAAAATCAATAATTAAACTATTTCGTGTTATCATTATATTTGTATCTGTGTTGTCAAATGTTTTGTAAGTGTCTATTTAGCAGGAATGTGTAACAAAAGTAGTTGTGTTTTGTGGAGTGTTACTTTTTCAGCGCATATCGGCGCAAGCAACTAACCAGGTGAAGTTACTTATAAAAATATAGGAATTCAAATTTAATTGGTCTTCTTTGGTGGTTTTTGCTCGTTTTCGAAAAAACAATAGATGTTGCAAGTGTTTATTAGTTCTCTCATGCAGCGCTCCTCGAAGTTTCGGGGGAGAGCCACCGGAAAGACGACGCTGTTAGAGGTTTAAATTAAATATTATAAATAATAGAACCATATTTAATAAAAGTTTTAGTTATTTTTATGAAAAACTTAAGTTTATGTAAAAATTAAGTAAAAATTCCAGTATAGCCAACTCTTAATGTAGGCGGCGGCCATAGGCGTGGTCAAATTTCCAAAACAAAATTCGAAATTCGACAAAAATATTTCAAGCATATATGCAAAATTTGAGCCCAGTATATCTAAAATTGGAGTTTATGCAAAAAAACGGCATTTCCGCCCGAAGTGGGCGTGGTCAAATTTAAAAAACAAAAAAATTCGAAATTCGACAAAAATAGTTTAAGCGTATGTGCAAAATTTGAGGCCAGTATCTCTAAAACTGGAGTTTCGGCCAAAAAAAAGGCGTTTGGGCCCATTGTGCAATGCAAAAAAAAAACAACTTACTGTGTGCGCAGCGCGTCGTACGTCTACATCAGGGATCGGCACCCCAATACATTGATATGATTTTACCGCATTAGTGTTAGTAACGAATAGCAGAAAGTAGGCTGTGTGCATGACGTTTCACACATGTATACTGTGTGTGTGTGGCAGAGCTCGGGCAGAGAAATTTCCTATGCCCCCGAGATAGGGCCGTGCCGACCTCTGGTCTACATCCATTAGGGATGTCGGAAATATATCAAAATATCGATATATTTTCTCTTAAAAAAATATTATTATCGGGATAAATTTTTGGGCAAAAATAGTCGATAATAATATTTTTGAGTTGGTGTTCTCCGATATTAGTTGCGAAAGAAAGGAAATGCAGGTTTACTTGAGTATGCCATTTTGTATTTGGGAGACAAATCCGTTGGAATTCTGGAACTCACAAATTTCAACGATGCCGATGCTAGCGAAGGTTGCTTTAAGTTTTCTTATCACGCCTGGAAGTTCGGTTCCATCTGAACGGTTGGCTTCTGCTATTAAATGTGTTGTCTGTGACTCCCGTAGTCGAATGACATACCAGCATATAACCGAAAGAGTTTTTTTTAAATCATTGAAAAAAGATTTATTTTGTAATTAAGAGCATTAAATAAGAGAATTAAGTAATTAGCATTATTAAGTACATATTCCATGAATTCCATGAAACTTTTTTTTTTGTATTAAGTTTTTTTTAAACTTTTTATACCCTTGCAGAGGGTATTATAATTTTGTCCAAAAGTGTGCAACGCAGTGAAGGAGACATCTCCGACCCTATAAAGTATATATATTCTTGATCAGGATCACCTCCTGAGTTGATATGAGCATGTCCGTCTGTCCGTCTGTCCGTCTGTCTGTCTGTCTGTCTGTCCGTTTCTACGCGAACTAGTCTCTCAGTTTTGAAGCTATCGTCTTGAAACTTTGCACACACCCTTCTTTTCTTTGCACGCAGTATATAAGTCGGAACGGCCCGGATCGGCCGACTATATCCTATAGCTGCCATATAACTGATTGATCGGAAATGGTATAACTTTGGTGTTTTTAGAGTTAGAGAGTTCAAATTTGACATGAGAGCTATTTTTGGCAAATTATTGTGACATGCCAAATTTCATAAGGATCGGCCGACTATATCTTATAGCTGCCATATAACTGAACGATCGGAAATGACCTAACTTTCGTGTTTTTGAAGATAGAAAGCTGAAACTTAATACAGATTCTATTATTGGCCAGTTGATCCGACCTACCAAATTTCATTAGGATCGGTCGACTATATCCTATAGCTGCCATATAACTGAACGATCGGAAATGGTACTTGGAACTTTCGTATTTTTGAAGATAGAAGTTTGGGACTTATTTTAGATTTTGTATTTTAGTAAATTGGTTTTATTATGATGTAATCATAAGGATCTGCCAACTATATCCGATGTTTGCGATATATATCCGGTTTTAACTGCAAGGGTATATAAACTTCGGCTCCGCCCGAAGTTAGCTTTCCTTTCTTGTTTTTAAATAAATTTGAATACAATGTCCTTAATAATTTTTTTATTTTTTATTTCAAAGAACTTAAATAAAAGTTGCTTGAGAGTGGGTATAAATATTTGTTGTTTTTTCAATTCACTTTTTAAATAAAAAATATGTCTTGTTTGCAGTTCATGGCGGATGACAACACATATTAAAACCTTTTTTTAAATTTAAAAATAACCTTTTTTCAGTTTTAGCTGACTATAAAAAATATCGAAAATACTCGATATGTCAATTTTTTTTGGTGATGTTTCTGAATATTATCGATTGATATTTTTTTCACAGCAAATATCATCAATACGATATTTTTTCAAAAACCAACAACCCTAACATCCATCAACAGCTAACACGCGACTAGCGCTGTACGAAAAATGAGAACAAAATAAACGAGAAAAACCTATTTTCAATCGAATTTAAATTCTCGCGTAGTCGTTTTGACGTAGGATGGCGTTCCAGGGCAGTGTTGTCGTTTTATCCTTTTTCAACTTTGCACTGCAGAGTTTGCAGTGGATGTGTCGTGCAAATGCAGAAGTTCAGCGTGTATTAGCCAAGATAATTTGGTAAAAACCAAATTGCGCAACCGACTGCAAATAGAAACTTTAAATGTGATTTTATCGATCAGATAAATATTTTAATACTCTTTTGTTTCACAAATTTATTTATATTGTTTTTTTCTTTTTTAGGTTTGGGATACGCCGGAAAGGCGTATGTTGCCATGAATATGAAATTCCTAAGCAACATTCAAAAATGATTGGAAGCAACCAATCTACAGAAAATCAAAGTTTAGAAGCTTGCAATGATGACATTGACGATGTTCTAAACGATTTGGTCACCAATAAAGAGAGATATTACATAAAATTTATGGAAGAAATATTTTGTCTTGTTTTTTGTCCTTTTTTTTAAATTTTTGTCCTTTTCTATCCTTTTTTATAATAAATCTAGCCTTTTTCTGAAACGAGCTGACGACAACACTGTTCCAGGGTTAAGTAAGATGCTATGCATTAATTGGTATAGTATAATAATAATCTGTTGTTAAAAATGTAAGGCCTTTTTTTAATTGCTGTAATAAAATGTATATTTTTTAAACCCCTTGCGAATGTTACTGTAATTTTATTTTTCAGTGCATCGACATGGATGGGAAAAAAATTGTCTCACCAATGCACAGTGGTTGGAATTGTACGGAGCCGCGATCATACAAATTTCCCGTTGAGATATCGTTTTGAAATTTCAAAACCCCATTTTCCTATTAATGTTAATGCGTTCTCCGTGTTATCAAGATAACTTTCAATTACAGTTGTTTTTCAATTACAGAATTTTTTCATAGCTTGGCAATTAGAGGTCTGCAGGAATACATTCTTATTGCCTCAGCCATAGAATACATCCGAATAGAATAGAATGAATGAGTGCAAAAGACACAACGAATTGAGTGAGAGGGAGTGAGAGTGAGAGAGCATTCTAACTCATGGGCATTCTCTTGCTTTGAAACCGAGTGAGTTGGGGTGGGAAGTAAAAAGAGTGCTTCTGGAATGAGGAATGCAGCCGAATGTCTCGAATGGTTTTTAACACACTCTGTGCATTTATTTATTTTCTTTTGTTGAGCAAAACGCTTCTTTAATAGTCTCTTTAGTTTTAGTTAATAGTTTCTTTAGCGGTCTCTGGAAATCTGTACGGGTTATTCCATCAATAATTATATTTTGGCAGCTAAAGAAGAGGTGTTAGACCTTGGTGTCTTATTCGACAGCAAATTTAAATTTTCGGGTCACTTAGACTACATTTTACCTAAAGCGTATGCTATACTGGGCTTTGTTAAGAGGCACGTGAACCAGTTTAAAAGTCCATACTCGAGCCTCAGCGTCTATGCTGCATTCATTCGGTCGAGGCTGGAATATGCCTCAATCATTTGGAACCCGGAGTGTAAAGTTCGTTCCAATAGAATTGAGCGACTCCAGAAAAAATTTTTAAACTTTGCACTTCTGCCTCTAAGGTTTCAGGATCCTGTTCCTTCATACCAGAGCCGTTGCCTTCTTCTGAACGTTTGCACGTTGGAGGATCGGCGTAAACTGGCAGCGTTAACTTTTTAAAATAATTTAATCGTTAATAACATTGATTGTCTTTTTTTGTTGGGACTCGTTAATTTTAATGTTCCTCAAAGGGATCTTCGTACCTTTGCCCCCTTTCGGGTCAAGTGTCATAGGGCCAATTATTTTTTAAATGAGCCGATAGAGCGGGCTCTTTCTTATTTTAATTCTTTGCCGCCTAGCCTCCGAACTGAGTGGGGCTCTGATAAGGGTGTGTTAAAACACAAGTTAATAAGGCATTTATTAAGTTTTTGTTAATTTTGTAGTTTTATTTATTAGGTGTAAGTTGTTATGTTATGTAGCCATGTAAGGATTTGTCCGTTGGCGAAATAAATAAATAAATAAATAAATAATGAGGAAATTGACTCAAAGGTGGATTATGATAAAAGTGTTTTATTTTACTTATGGTTTTGAACTGTTATTATTCTTTTCTTAGTGTTTTTTGTTTAGCTTTCTTAAGTTTTTCCAAATTAAATTATATTACAAAATTTGTTTAGCGGCAAAATTGTGCTGGAAATTATTTATTAATAAATATTGAAAATATTTTTACATACATATAAGTAAAATATGTAAATAAAATATGCAGCATAATAATGAATATTTCTGAAAAAAAAACAATGACTTACTTCCACTTTTGAATTATTTTATTATCAGCGTCTAAAAATACAGGCAAATATGCATAGTACATTGTACTACTCAATATTTCATTAAGTTAAGGTCCCATTATAAAATTTAAATATTGTCCATAACTCCAGACAGATTTTAAATATAACTATTGATTGATTGATAATAAAAAAAAAAAAAACAAGAAAGGAAAGCTAACTTCGGGCGGAGCCGAAGTTTATATACCCTTGCAGGTAAAACCGGATATATATCGCAAACATCGGATATAGTTGGCCGATCCTTATGGGAATAGGAATATATAATCCAATTTATTACAATACAAAATCTAAAAAAAGTCCCAAACTTCTATCTTCAAAAATACGAAAGTTGATATTTCTACCAAATACCATTTCCGATCGTTCAGTTATATGGCAGCTATAGGATATAGTCGGCCGATCCTAATAAAATTTGGTCCTAATAATACCCTTGCAGAGGGTATTATAATTTTGGTCAAAAGTGTGCAACGCAGTGAAGGAGACATCTCCGACCCTATAAAGTATATATATTCTTGATCAGGATCACCTCCTGAGTTGATATGAGCATGTCCGTCTGTCCGTCTGTCTGTCTGTTTCTACGCAAACTAGTCTCTCAGTTTTAAAGCTTTCGACTTGAAACTTTGCACACACCCTTCTTTCCTTTGCACGCAGTATAAAAGTCGGAACGACCGGAATCGGCCGACTATATCCTATAGCTGCCATATAACTGATTGATCGGAAATGGTATAACTTCGGTGTTTTTAGAGTTAGAGAGAGTTTTTAGAGTTCAAATTTTACATGAGCGCTATTTTTGTCAAAATAATACGACATGTCAAATTCCGTAAGGATCGGCCGACTATATCCTATAGCTGCCATATAACTGAACGATCGGAAATGACCAAACTTTCGTGTTTTTGAAGATAGAAAGCTGGAACTTGGTACAGATTATATATTTGGTCAGTTGATCCGACCTACTAAATTTCATTAGGATCCGCCGACTTTATCTTATAGCTGCCATATAACTGAACTATCGGAAATGGTTTTTGGTAGAAATACCAACTTTGGTATGTTTGAAGATAGAAATTTGGGACTTTTTTTTAGATTTTGTATTTTAATAATTTGGATTATATATTCCTATTCCCATAAGGATCGGCCAACTATATCCGATGTTTGCGACCGGATATAGGTTTTAACTGCAAGGGTATATAAACTTCGGCTCCGCTCGATTACAAATTCACTATTTACAAATTCACGAATAAGCAAGTATTGGTGTTTCGTTATTCCAGTGTCCATTAGAAGCGGTAAAACCTTTTCAATATCTGCTTTGGATGACTTCAAGATCGGTGGAAAATCGGCTGAGCGCAAAACAGAAACTACACCTCGTCATTTTTTATTTGAGCACCGCTATCCGATGACGTTTCGTCCTTTTTGAGGACTCAGAAAAATTCAACTTTTGGTCGTCCACGTTCAGCACTAGAAACTATTTTTTTCAGAGGTTTGATTTCATTCTATTCTATTTTTAGAAAGTCACGTTAGAATTCCGGGCAAAATTTGGAGCTGATTTGCTTACATTTTGACTTAACATTTTTAGATGGATTTTTTTATTTTTGGCCTATGGACGCAACCGCTGTGAATTGGAGAGCTCTCGGAGGAAGCTGCATAGGCGAACAACAAAGAAATGCAGACTGAATCATACCCGCAAAATGTCACGAATACTTACAAATACAAACATATTGAATTATTTACTTTTACGGTCCGACACATACATTACTGGGGAGATAAATATTGAAAATAACAATTTTAGAATTATTTCCCTCATTTAACAGCTTTCTTGAGGAGACATCCTAAAATTGTTGTACAATTTTGAAGTTACAACCATTGTAAATTTTATTTAGTACTCATAAATGGCTCATAAATTGTTATTGCTTAATTATTTGTAAAATTTTATTGTTTGGGGTTCATTGGTTGGCGAATTTTTTCAACTACAAACACTATTTACAAAGTTTGGTAAACCTTTTAGCTCTCTAATGCCGCGCATTTTTGACCGCGCTTCCATAAAAGCGGAATAACTGTGCAATTGAAACAATTGCGTGTTCTATACTCCTTGATTAACCCTTTGGCAGTATCGAGGGCATATTTATTAAATTTGTGTGCGTTGATTTTGTGTCCCGATGCCTAATAGTTGGCCGATCCTTATGATTACATCATAATATAACCAATTAATTACAATAAAAAATCTAAAAAAAAAGTCCCAAGCTTCTTTCTTCAAAAATACGAAAGTTGATATTTCTACCAAATACCATTTCCGATCGTTCAGTTATATGGCAGTTATAGGATATAGTCGGCCGATCCTAATAAAATTTCGTAGGTTGGATCAACTGACAAAAAATAAAATCTGTACTTTCTATCTTCAAAAACAGGAAAGTTGGGTCATTTCCGATCAATCAGTTATATGGCAGCTATAGAATATAGTCGGCCGATCCCGTTCGTTCCGACTTATATACTTCGTGCAAAGAAAAGAAGGGTGTGTGCAAAGTTTCAAGTCGATAGCTTTAAAACTGAGAGACAAGTTTGCAGACGGACACACGGACATGCTCATATCAACTCAGGAGGTGATCCTGATCAAGAATATGTATATACTTTATAGAGTCGGAAATGTCTCCTTCACTGCGTTGCACACTTTTGGACAAAATTATAATACCCTCTGCAAGGGTATAAAAATTATAAAAATATATATTAGGACTATTCAGAATCCGATGTGTCGGAGTCGACCAATAAATTGTTAGGATCATCTGATTGACGGGATTTTTGGATAACTGTGATGGTTTAGATAAGGATGTTATTAATGAAATAAATAACCCATTCATAACATCTTGCATCGTATTAACTCTTTTGTCTCTCCTAGAGTGGTTCAGTCGTATTCTTCTGAAATCTTTATTCCTGGCTTCGAGTGCCTCTCCAGACATTAATCCAATAGGCAGACTTACAT